TGCTCACACGTTTCACATTTAAATGGCCTCTCGCCTGTGTGGGTTCTGATGTGCCCCCTCAAGTTTGATTTTGAAGCAAAACTCTGCTCACACGTTTCACATTTAAATGGCCTCTCGCCGGTGTGTACGCGGACATGCTCTTCCAGTTTAGATTTAGAGATCAAAGTTTTGGCGCAGTATGAACACTTAAACCCCGCTCCGGCCGGTTTATGCAAGTCTGTCTTCATAGCATTACTTGTGCTCGGGTTTTTGCCACGCTCGCCGCTGCGAGTCTGATCGATCCAACCCCTGCCATCCTGGTGCGTCTCGTCGGCATCCTCGCCAACCACGTCACTGGGCTGGTCACTGGACGCCAGCTCGGCGCGCAGAGTGTGTTGAGGGTGCACCGCGTCGGCGACCTCAAGGGCCTTGGCGAGGTCAGCAGAGTCCTCCTCGGTGCCCCCGTGAAGCGAGTTGGTCCCGCTGACCGCCAGCCATCGCTGCTCGCTCTGGGCATCGTCAGGATCATCGCCGTGATCGACACCGCTCGCCTCGGCGTTGATCTGCGAGTCCAGCTCCCCGTCGGCCACCTCTCGTCCTGGCGGTGTCCCGGGCCGCGCACCTGCGGACAGGAACAGCACCGCGTTAGAGCTCGCCCTAACCGCCAGCGCCAGGGACCGCCCCACCACCGACACGACGTGCACGTGCAGGACGGGGGCGCCGCCACTCTCGCTGGCCCTGTAACAGAGGCACGCGTGAGGAGCTGATCGAGTGTGTCGGAGTTGTCGCGCCCGCGCCCAAGGAGATGACCGACCGACACCCGCGCCCACGGCGTCAGCGGGCGGATCACTGGCTGCACAAGCAGGGCCTGCAAGGCCTGCAACAGAGAGACGAGTGAGAAGTTGTTTGACCAAGTGTTCTCAAAGTGTCGGAGCTGTCGCGTCCGAGAAGACCGACGCCATCGGTGTCGCCGGCCCGTCTCAGACGACTGGAGGCGGCACGAGCAGGGCCTGTAACAGGTACAAGTGTGAGGTGTGCGCCAGGGAATCAAGTTCAAAACACTTTTTCACAGTAGAGGTGAAGTCGGGCGCACCAACCAAAATGTGCCTTTATCAAATAAGTACCCGGGTGTCCAGGCTAAGACACGGCAGTTGCCATATTTTATCAATTGAAAAAATAAAAATCAATGAAATGTCATGTAAAACACAATGAAAGGATAGTCTGCTTCAAGCCCAATCGAACCCAAAGAAGAAAAGCATGATGACTGCTCGATCCGTTTTCCTCTGGCTGACCGCCACAGCCACGCCATCTTTGGCCAAACAGACGTTCAGGAGGAAACGCCCAGCCGAAAATGGCAACTCGAAACGACATCGAGTCGACGTCGAAGTCGACAATTCGTTGATTTAGGTGACAAAACCCATCGAATCGACGTCGATTTCGCGTCGATCGATGAAATCGCTCAAATTTCGACGATGCATTACTGACCTCGACTGACTGGAAACAGATCGGGTAGTCATGCTTTTCTCCTTTAGGTTCCGATTGTGTTGTAGCGGAATACCTACCCTATTGATCGGAATAAGTGATGAGAATAATGCTCAGGAGTGGCGCGGGGGAAGTCGGAAGACATGCTCAATGGAGGACCTACGCTTAAAGAAGAACAGAAGGAAGATGGCCGCCGCGGCGGGTGGTGGGGGTAGGAACATAACAAAACCTCATTTGTTTAGCAGAAGTGCCCTGGCGCTATTTCGAAGTGTGAACATATTATAGCACTAAACATATTGTAAATTTAATAATAAATGTTGTTTACGTGTCAAATATTAATTTTGTCATAATTTAGAGACAAGGTGCAACCAAAATAGCGTAAGTTTCTGAGCGCGTCGACTGCAAAACAAATGAGGTTTTGTTATGTTCCTAACCCCACCACCCGCCGCGGCGGCCATATTCCTTCTGTTCTTCTTTACGCGTAGGTCCTCCATAAAGGATTCCGGTAAAGCTGAAATGCAGAAGAATGTGGGGAAGAAGAAAACGGAAATCGCTATGCTTTAACATGGTGACTTCCATTTTCTTGTTCCTCGCATTCTTCCACGGAGTAATTATTACAATTCTTCTGCATTTTGAGCTTTATAGGGAGACACAACTAGGAGCGAGCTTTTCTTATGGGAGCTCTCCTGAACTACTACCTCCTCAGCTACCCCCGCAACACATGGGCCGGCTGGGTCCCGCCTATCCCTTTGCGTGGACCCTCGGAAACAGGTAGCCAATCCACCACCGCAGCAACATCTCCTCAGAAAAGCTCGCTCCTGGCTGTGTCTCTCTATACCCGGAATGCTTTATTGGCAGGCGGGTCACTTGTCATAGAGGCCGTTGATCAGGCTTTCTTGAGCACGCCCACGGAATGTTCATTGTACACTGGTGCCCTCCAGGCCGACCAGCGTGAATGCGCGGGCCTTGGCATAACGGGCGGACATGCCGTGTCGCCGTGCCGACCTGCCGGGGGGGAGGGG